CAGTGACATCCTCACAGCAAAATAGTAGAAACAACCACATGTTCATGGTATTGGAAATACATGGATTTACAGTCTCACATACGGAGTGGAGAAAATGACTGACATATATACTATGATTGAATTTCAGAAACCTGACTCAGGTTTCTATTGTATAAGGCTCAAAACCAAATTATTTAGTGTTTAAGTTCATCTAGAAATGTGTCTGATTACAAAAATGTTTAATAAGAGGTTCATACATGAAAAGTTAATAATATCAGGCAGTGGATGCTTTGGTGATGAGGATTGGTTGAAGAAATGGGAAAAGTTCAGAGCTACTGAATTCTGTTTTGGGGGCCAGCAGTTTGGTCTTTGGTGTTTGACATGATTTACTTTACATTTAAATCCATGTTTCCTATGTTCTCTTCAGTATTGTTCAATATCGGCTATTATGCTGAAAAGAACACAGGGAAAGAATTGTGTTAAAGCAAGGTCTATGAGAAAATACTGATGGAACCCAACAGCAAGACTCCTTAGGCCAAAAATCTTAAGCTTTGGGACAAAGTTAAGAGTTGGCAGCCAGTCTTCAATCTCTTTCCTCAAGAGTGTGCCAAATATGGGCCCTTGACCAAGAATCCTGACTCTGAAGAAGTGCTTGGAACATCTGGATGTGGCTTAATTTCCATTGTTTCTTTGCATTATTTGATGTGTCGAATCTGCATTTACTAAGAAGTTGACATATTTTAAGTTTCATGCAATCTACTTAATGAGGTGGTCTTTCCCAAGTTTTCTGCCTGTCTGACCTTAATTCATCCTCCAAAGCTCGAGTACTTCTGTTACTCCTTGAAACGCTCCCTGAATTTTAGGCCTGGCTTAGCTTCAATGTCCATTCCTCCAGCTCCTGTAAGCCTCATGTTTCCTTGGTTTCTCAACAAATCTTTGTGACAACTCTCTTGCGGTTTTGTTTGGGATTTATGTGTGTGTTTATCCAGTCCCCCATTCTTTAAAGCACATTTTCCTTCTATACATAGTCTTCCACATCTCACCACCAACATATTCCAGGACAATACCTTCACCATATATATTTGTGTGTGTATGTGTGTATTTAAAAATCTCTTTCTTTTTAAAAATTTTTATTGAATTTTTGTGTATTTCATTTATAAAATCATCTTTATGCTTCCCCCTTCCCCTTTGGCACCCTCCCATAGCCCCCCGCCGGAGTTCATATATTCTGTCATTTGTATTAACGTCTATTATGTAAAGTTGTTGTCCCCATATGGCCCTCAGTGCAAATTCATCTACTGGGGTTTAGTCAACCTGTCTAGAATCTCTTCAAGAAGATCAGTTATTCCTCACCCAGCAGTAATCAGCTGGCAATAATTCTTCAACTAAGAGTGGGGCTTGCTGGTCATTTCCACAGTTCTGTGCTGGGTTTTTGTCTGTAAGTTTGCATGGGTCTTGTGCATGCTGACACCATTGCTGTAGGTTTCTATGAGAAGGGTCCCAGGTGCCTGTATGGTCCTGCACCTCCTCCCTGGCTCTTACAATCTTTCCATCCCCTCTTCCACAATGGTTCTTGAGCTCTGGGTGTGTAAACCTCAATATAGGAGTCCTGTCACCTGTCCAAGGACCCATAATCTGAAGATTCTTAAGCTCTGCTTTTTGGCCATTTCTGACCTTCTTTGTTCCTGGCCCTCTGTTGCATGAGGGAACTTCACTGATGGGAACTGAAAGATGCATTACTGTGCTCTTCATCCCTTGTTCTATGTTCTGTGAGTCTTAGGTGTAGAGGTTGCATCCTAAATGTGCCACTTAGGTTTGGGCAATTCACAGAGAATCTCTGTGTGTGACCAGTGGTGTAACTCTGTAATAATGTCTGTCTGTTGAAAAAGAAGCACCTTGATGGACTGTGACTGGGATACTTGTCTGTAAATTTAAGGATCCATATTTTGCACATAGTAAGAAATTACATTTGTCTAGGGATATGAGAACCTTGGGATTTTCTCTAAGATCAGTACCAGACACGAGTTTCCTCCCATTCAGTGAGCTTTAAGTCGAATTATGTAGCTGTTGATTACCCCCAAGATAAAAGTGCCACTACTGCACCAGTGCAGTTTGCTGTGCTGGCCATTGATGTGGTTTTTAGGCCTTGAAGTTCGGGGTTAGATCATCGATTGATATTCTCCCTTGCCAGCATTTGTAGTGCTCTCCAAAGCTATGGAGCTAGTGTTCATGGGAGATGGTTTCCAGGTCAATCCCAGCTCCAATGTGCCAAATCCTTTGTCCAAAGGATGTCCTGTCTTCAGCAATAGGGTATTACCATCAAGTACTGTGAGGCGATTAAGGACTGTGCCAATAGCCTGTGTAATTTGAAGAGTCTCTTGGACTACCCTGGTGTTGGAGGAAGGTTTCTCTGGTCTGGCACTGTTTCTTGTTATGTAGTCTTAAACTATACTCACAGATGCATGTAGGAATATTGTATGTGCAAATTTTCAGTAGGTTTTTGGACTAATACAATTATTCCCTCTGGCTAGATAGGCACTATTTATGGCTCCTCTTTCTCTCCCGTCTTATTTACCCCACCCCATGCCCTTCCCATTTAAAGTGTCCCCATTTTCCCTATTTCCCCCTTGATAATTTCTGTCTGCTGTGGTCCCATCGATTTTGAGCTCCTGCTTTCCCTTTATTCCCATCGTTCTTTGTATAGTCCTCCTCCTCCTCCCCCTTTACCCCTTTCCACAGATTGCTCTCTTAGTAATGCCTGTCTCCTACTATTATTCTCTTTCTAGTTCCTTCTTTCCCTTTACCTCCATGGCTCCCTTCTATTTTCCTGGTTCCTGCAGTTACATAATGATAGGTACTCACTTATAAGGATTTGGTGCTAAGAAACAATGAAGGAGAGCATCTTCTGTTTTTCTGATTCTGTGTTACTTCGCTTAGTGTAAGTTTCTAGATCTTCCATTTACCTGCAAATTTCATGATTTCATCTTTCTTTACTGCTGAGTAAAACTCCATTGTGTAAATGTGCCACATTTTTGTTAACCACTCGTCAGTTGAGGGGCACTTAGGTTGCTTCCATCTCTTAGCTATTGAGAAAAGAGCAGCAACAAACATGGTTGTACAAGTGTCTCTGCAATAGGATGAGTCCTTTGGGTGTATGCCAAGGAGTGGGATAAGCAGGTCACATGGTGGGTTCATTTTTAGGTTTTTGTTTTGTTTTGTTTTGTTTTTTGTCTTTTTGACTTTTTTTGAGGCAGGGTCTCTCTTCAGCCCTAGATGGCCTGGAACTCACTATGTAGACCAGGCTGGACTTGAACTCACAGAGACCTGCCTGCCTCTGCCTCCCGAGTGCTGGGATTAAAGGCATATGCCATAATGCCTGGCTCATTTTTAGTTTTTTAAGAGCTCTCCACACTCTTTTCCATAGTGGTTGCATGAGTTTGCAATCCCACCAGTAGTGAACGAGTGTTCCCCTTTCTCCACATCCTCACCAGCATTTGGTATCATTTGTTCTCTTGATCTTAGCCTGTCTGACTGGGGTAAGGTGAAATCTAAAGGTCGTTGTAATTTGCATTTCCCCAGTTACTAATGATACTGAATGCTTTTAAAGATGTTTCTTAGTCATCTTTATTTCTTCTTTTGAGAACTCTCTGTTTAGATCTTCAGCCCATCATTTAACCGGGTCATTTATTTTCTTGATTCTTTGTTTTTTTTAGTTCTTTATAAATTCTTGATGTTAAACGTCTGTCCGATGTGTCACTGGTGAAGATTTTTTTTCTCTGTGAGATTTCTCTTCACTTTGTTAATTTTTTTTTCTGTACAGAAGTGTTTTAATTTAATGATGTTCTATTTGTTGATTGTTGATTTTAATTCCTGAACAACAGGTGTCTGGTTTAGAAACTCCTTTCCTACACCTATATCTTGTAGGTTAGTGCAATGTTTTCTTCTAATACTTTCAGAGTTTTGAGTTTTACATTGAGGTCTTTGATATATTTGGAGTTGACTTTTGTGCAAGGTGAAAGATAGGGATCTAATTTCATTCTTCTATAAGTGGAGATTCAGTTTTACCAGCACCATTTGTTGAAGATGCTGTCTTTCCTCCATTGTGTGTTCTTGGCACCTTTGTCAAATATCAGATAG